TTATATGGCATAACTGAGGCCATCTTGTATGAGTCAGGGCTACGGAATCTCCAGCCGTTAAAATACTAACAAAAAAAACTTGCTGCACAGAGCTCTTGTCTCTTTGCTGCCCAGGACAGCAGCAATGCCTGATTGTCTGGTATAAAAGGATTAAAGAAATTAGAAAATGATCACTCAGACACTGTCCAAACATCACATATGATGCTATGCCAGTAATGCAAGAAGAGGGAAGGTCAGAATTTGCTTCCTTCCCCCATATTGTTTACGTGGGTTAAGTTACCACAAGGTGTTGATAAAAATTAATGTTACGACCAAGACAACGTAGAAAAGATTTTCACTTCATGTATAGATAGACAAGTTTCTTTGCGTAGATGTGATATCTTTTATTACATCAAGTAAAGAGTTGGAAAAAAATATATTTGCAAGATTTTGGGCACAAACACCCTTCTTCAGGCCTGAAGAAGCGGGTGTGGGCCCAAAAGCTTGCAAAGAACAATGTTTTAGTTGGTCTAATAAAAGGTTTCACATGTTCCCAAGGAACCTTGTCTGCCTATGTCCTTAGGCCAACACGGCTACAACCAACAATCCCCCTCACTTCATGTAACATATGGTTCTCTTCTCACTAAAAGACTGGGGGGCATAATGGTGCAACCAAACTAAATCTAATATGCATACTGTGGAATTTTTTGGACAATCTGTTAAGAAGAATATTCATTGAGCCACAGAGTTCTTTTCAGTATCACTTCTTCTCAACTGGGCAGACCAACCCCCGCCCCCCTCCAAACAAAAAACATCAACTGTTTTCAAGCAGAAGAAATGATCAAGGGGACATGTGCATACACAGAAAGGCCTGCCAGAGCCTGAGCCTAGACATCTTTTGGAACAGTTGTATTATTTGGACAGGCATTCAACAAACAAAGCTAGGCTGAGGTATTGTTTAGTGGTCTCTATTTTATCTGGATATTCTAGTCCCCTTTACATTGCATTGTTTTCTTGTCATGCTCCTCTTTTAAGTTATTCGGAACTTTTATTTTAAGCCACCTCGAGCCTTTGTTGGACAGGGAGGCATATACATAAAATGAATGAACTGAATATGTAGAGACCAATGAGCACGAGGAGACTCTCTCACATCTCTCACCTCCTGAAGAGCAGGGTTAACAATCGGTTTTGTGAGCCCTAAAGAGATGTTGCTTTTAAAGAGTCCTTTACAGTAATTGAACCCAATCCTGGACAAACATAACAAAGAAAGGTAATTCCTTAAAATGCATACCTTAATTACAAGTATTTTTTAGAAAAATCAATATTTGGTTTTATTCTGTGAACAGCACTGAACTAGCTGTCTCCAGTTCAATTGAATTTCACTTGACTTTATTACAGAGCTATGGTTTCAACATGTTCTCCAATTACTTTTAACTACCACAGAGACCAAATTTTAAATTCCCATGATCCTTTGCAACTGATCCACCTCAAAGAGGACAGATCCATTATTTCAGTGACCGGTTGTAATTAAAGATTCTTTTAATACCACTTTGAACTGTGTACAAAAGCAATATTTAGAGATGCACCTTTCAATTAGAAGTCTGGAGAAAAATGAAAGGTGCTACAATTAAGATTTCTTTCTCCTGCTGGCTTTGTGAGAAAGTTGAAACAAGGCTTGTCTGCAGGAAAGCCAAGACCTCACCACCTGGGCTTTGTATCTATGGATCTCAAATGTGCTACTTGCTACGTAGGTGATGCAATATCTCACTCTCCTGGTTGTGGGCAATTTTTGTGTTTTTTCAAAGCCTCATTTCTAAACTGCTAATTGGTGTTTAACAACCCATTTGTTCTGCCCATTGATTTTACATTTTTTTTCCTTGTGTTTTTAATTAAACATACCCTGTTTACACATTTTGCTCGTATTAAATTATAACAGAATAGGGCTAAGGAACTCTTCCATCCCTGTACGCTGATGTATTCTAAGGACACTGCACTACCCAAGCACTTTTATACAGGGGAGAAACAGATGACAATGGCCAGACTATTTTTTTCTTTAAAAGAAATCTTCGGTCACACCAGACTTCTACAGCTGTGAATGCTGTCAACTCTCTGAACTCTTGTCTGTTCCTTGGAAACGTGACGCTTTGGAGCCTGCTCCACTGTGGGTTCATGTCAATGTAAAAACACCCCTCAACTTCCATGTGCATTGAACCAGGCTCTGAACTCATGAGGGAAGGAAAGATACATAGACACAGCTAGTGGAAATGACAGTTCATGTCCCCATCCATGAGCACACATACAAATGCACTGATCCAGCAAAATCCTACTTGCCCACTCACCCAGTGGAAGAAGCGATGCTCCTTGACTAACAATCTGAACAATGTTCCCACAAGTCAGGCTATGCTGGGAAGTGAGCAGCAAACTAAATTCCTTCAGTTCTTGTTAGTTTTACTTTCCTTCCCTGAGAAGAGCCTTCCCCAGTCCCAGCTCTCTATTCAAGAAGGCATCATTTTGCAAGATCCGTCATCCCAGATATCCCAGTCAAGCCACATTTCTCTGATATCATTGGAAGACAATGTGTCTGGGATGCTGTCATACACTGATTGCCAGAGAACTTCACAGAACAGGAAAACGGGCTACATTCCCTTGCCAAAACCACTAGATTACTGAAAAAATGCCCTGATGTGATTCTCAAATAATCCTCACAGGATGTTGGGGAGGCTGCTAATTCAACCAGGTTTAGAAGGAAATTAGAGAAGCTCATGGAGGCCAGATCCATCAATACATATAAATATAATAGTTAGAGATGCAACCTCAAACTTGGGACTTCCTATGCCTCTGACTGCTGGTAGCTGCATAGGCCCTGCTTCACCACTCTTCCCGTTACCATCCAGTCTTTGCCACTGTGAGAGACACTGTGGTCTAAGTATGACAGCTGTCATGTTCTACTGTTCTTAATTGTTACCATTTTCCAAAATAAATATTTAGTCTTGCCCATTCACTGCAAAAGAACTATTCCTACTTCCAACTGTATATCTTGCCTTATTTTTTAATTCACCTAAATATTTCTGCTCTTAGGGGATCTTCAAGTCCACATCCAAAAAGCATGGCCAGCTTTTACCTCTACAATAAGGTAAATCGAAGTGTGTTATCTAAATTGCTCTAAACACGGTACAGTGTTCAATATAACTTCAGCTCTAAATTTGGTGTTTTCAGCTCAAGATCTGGTAAAAATAATTAAACCAAAAACAAAAACATCTGAGACTGCATTTGTTCACAAAACCTCATCTTCTTTCACTGGTTGTAGGATTAATTTTTTTTAACAGATTCAGTAACTGGCAACAGACAGCACATGAGAAGGGGGCAGCAGAGAAGTTCTTAAAGTATATGGAAAAGATTCCTCAGAAAGGATAGAAACACACTAGAATAAAAAAAGGAGGGCAATTGATTTTCACTCTTTTGGGATGACCAATAACTCACATATTACTCTGCTTCACTCCACCGCTCAAAAAGTATGTGCTCATCATTAACTTGTGAGAATGAAAAGTATTACTTCACCCTTTCCCCATCTGAAATCCTTCATAGATCAATACCTTCCAATTTTCTTCCTTCTCATAGTTCTGATCTTTTGCCTCATGTACCTACATTCTCTTTGCCTCCTTTTCCTTGCATTTTGCTATGGAGTCAGAAATTAATTTGATTTCTGCTTCCTGAAAGTTTTCCAGAATCACAATTTCTTTTAAAATCTCTTTATCTACTTTCTTTTTTTATAGTGATGACAGTCACATATGGAAAGAAAAAAGACACAAAGGGATCAAAGCACCGTATCACTCCTCTCTTGCAAGCTAATGACCTGGCTCTATTCAGTTACTACTTTAGTCTTTTTTATCATGATATTTAATAGAAATGTAACACTTTGAAAGAAAAAAATATGTTGCTAATTAAATGTGTTATCTTCTAAATTATATTAATTCTGCCTTTCTTGTTACCTCTTCAGTATTTTGGAAAGATAGAATCTGACAGAGAGAAAATGAATGCCAACCATTATTACATAAAGTTTGTATGTAGGAGTAACCCATTTCAAATGTAAAGGAAAATAATTTTGAGGACCCAGCACTATTTGGTGAGTTCAAACCAAATTGTCATATGGCACTTTGCTGACATAGAAGCAAATGTGGATTTCTGTTTATATAACAAGGAAGAATTTGGTCTTAGTTAATGAACAATTTCACCAAAAACATCACTGTGGTTTCTGAAGCCCAGTCTTCAGCCTTGGAGAGATGGAGTAAAATTTCCTTCTGTCAAAATTTAAACAATATAACCTGTCCAAGCTGTTTTAAATGGAACAGCAGCACATGTCCCCTGCATCCCCCAACAAATCATCCATATACATACACACAGAGGAAAAAAAAAAAAACAACACAGATTATTTTGTCCGTTTTAACTACAATGAAATCAGCCATTAACACATCAGATGCCGAACAAATTGTGCACGTGTTGACACGAGTGTGTGAGAGTGTATGTGTATGTGTAAAGGGGGAAAGTTCCACTTACTCTTACAGAACTGTGCTAATTTAAGACAGCTGAGGATCTACTACATGATAGTTGCAAAAACAGCTTCTTCTGAGCTGTGATTTATGGGAATGCTCACAAAATCAAAGAAAAATAAAGTGGATGGAAAAAATATAATTAAACAAACAATATTGTTGGTAGATCTGATGATATGAGCAAGGACTTGGATGTGTAGACAGTGGCTCAGGTTTATCACTGAAAATTCATTCCTATTTCCATTTATTTTCAGAGTAAGCTATAAAGAAAATGTTCTGCACAGCATAAAACTTCCCCTTTTAATACTGAGCAGTTAAGTATGGAGGGTCTCACAAATGGGTCTTTAGTCACACAGCCACCCACATTTGATGAATCATATAAAAAGATCTGTAAATAGCACAAAATGCTTGGGGACAACAGAATGAAAAATAGCTTCAGGGATGCCACAAGCAAGGCTTACCAGAGACCCTTACCTGCTCTGCTGTCCAGGGGTCCAAAATCCAAAGAATACTTCACCACATGATAGTTGTTCCATACATAAAGGAGGTTGTCCCTGGGATTATAATCCACAGCGGCAATGTACTGATATGAGTTTGGAAAGGGAACATCCACCATACTATCCTTGCTTTGGTCAGTGTTGTAAATGTAGTCTATTTTATTCCCTGTAGCTTCGTTGTCATCGTCCTCATACACAGACTTCACCACGTATAGAATCCCACAAATCATGAAAGCATTGGAAGCTGACCGTTTGTCATACGCCGTATCCCATGTCCCTTCAATCCTTAATGTGTAAGGGTTTAACTGGCTAATGACAATTTTGCCATTGTTTTGTTCTGTTGCATAGATTACCCACAGGCCATTCTCATCCACAGCCAGGTCTATATCAGACTTGCCCCCCCATCGATAGGGGGAAGTGTCATGGTAATTAGCATTTGCTATGATAGCTTCTCCACTCTTTATCCTTGTCCGTAAGTCAAATTTGACTATGTTCCTGGTTCGCTCCTTGTTGAAGAACAAAGCCCCATCATATACCACAAATCCTGTGCCGTCCACCCGGTGAGGGAGCTTGTATGTCGTAGTGGGTCTCCCAGCAATGAAATCATCCTTGGAAGAGTATTCTGTCAGGGTGTCAGTTCTGTATGGGGTCCAAGGCATGTAGTAGATCTTGTCAGAAGCCTGAAGAGGATCCTTACACCACGCCCCAGACTGGTGGTCTGACTCAAATAAATGTTCACTCTGGTATACTCCTTTTAGTAGTCCAGGACAAAGAAAAACTGTTGGAGGGAAAAAGAGTTAAAAACAAAACAAAAGAAGAGAAAGTTAATGATAGTCCTACTGCTCTGGAATGAACTTGTAATAGTTCACAGTTCTACAGTGGAGTATGATCAAGATCAAAAGGAACCCCACAATACATTTTCTGTAATTGTAGATTATCCTGTCTAGAACAGGGCATGCTCCTTCATATTGATTTTTGCTATCTTCTCTATGAGCATCAGTTCATTTTCTTATAGCTTTTGGAATCTATTTTTACGGGTGTACTTACTTGGACCATTCATCTTTGTAAACTCTGAAATGAATATGTATTCCCAAAGGGTTCATGGGTTTATATTTTCAGTTTATACTGTACTGTAGATCTATACCTAGTAGGTGAATGGAGTATATTCCTGGGAAACTGTTCCACATATTTACTTTGAATAGCCTGCTGAAGTATGCCCTAGAAATGGAAATAATAAAATAAAGTCTAATAAAAAAAAATCCCACCCTTACAGCCCAGGTGAATTTAAATATTTAAAAGGTACTATAGCAAAGCAGAGGCAAATCCCTCAGCAACTCAAAAGAACATTTAAAGCAAATGGGGGAGGGGGGGGGGATACCTTACTACAGGCCAGTAGCATAACTAGCAATAAAGCTTTCAGAGGTCTACACAACACACAGAACATGCAGTCCACACAATTAAAAATGAATGATGGGTGAATACTGTAAGGAAAAAGCAGAAGGTAAGGAAGGAAGAAAGGAAAGAGGAAGGAAAAGAAATAAGTTCACTGGAGAGGAACCCAAGGTCTAGATTTTAATCAGTTAAAATGTCCTGTTAAATATAGTAGTATTTACACTTAAAAACATGTACCTTCTATTGTTAAATGAGAAGAGTATATAGGAACATTTGACTAGCTGTGGCGCTTTGCTGCTCAGACTTCAGAATCAGAGAGGTAAAGGGTTCAGATGGCTCACTTGAGTTCGAGTGTGATATGCTGCATGCATAGAGGCAGGGAAAAGACTTGCTCTATGCTTTGTGGCTGTAGGAACTGAAAGAACACTCATCTTTCCTGTGACTGATAAGGTAAGAGATTACTGGGCATTATGACATAGTGCAAAGAAGAATGGCCAGAGCACAGCCAGGTGAAAGGTAAAATGGCTACAGAATGCCACAGTGAGCCACTGTGCAGTACAGTTTCTATTCCCCCATAATACATAAAAAATAACTCTCATATACCAGAGTTATGTATATCCATGAAGGGAAGAAAACACTGCAACTACAGGGAGACTGCTGTATCAGGAGTGTTGTGGATCTTATTTATTAAAACAAACTGAGGTAAAAAAAAAACTAATAAAACCTTTTTTCTAAATTATTGATTCAAAGCAAGAGGGTACTGGGTGGATATCTGAGCTTGTGCAGATACAACTGGAAGACCAGCCTATTGCTGGTTGTGCTCTGCAAACAACATTGAGGGTCTGATTTAACACATGAAGTCAATGGGAGCTCTACCACTGACTTGAGTGGGAGTTGGATGGGCCTTATCACTTTAAAATTAAGCCAATGATCTTGTGTGAATAATAATGGCATGATTATGGCCCAGCAGAAGCATCCTATGAGATATATTTGTTAGCATAGTGCTGGCAGATGGGATAGCTGAATGCACATTCACTGCTTAGAAGGATATCACTTCTGTTAAACAATTCATAATGGGTGAAGTCCTCAGAAAAGAGAAACTAGCATGAGACAATCATGAATTCAGAAGATACAGGAAGTTGTGGGCTAGATTTGCAGCTGGTATAAAGAAGCTTAGCTTTATTGGAGTCAGAACAGCTACCTATTGCAGCTGGGGAATAGGGAATAGTGCCTGGAAGGCCTCTTTGTGAGGGGCAGGAGAGAGAGAAATTATTTTACAACCTTAAAATAGAAGTTTAACCAAGGCAACTGACACTGTAAATCTTTTTAGGAAGAGTATGTTATCTAGAGAAGTTGAGCAGCAGAGATACTAAATAAACTTCAGCGAAAAATAAGTGAGAATTAATGACAGATATTTCAACTAAAACGTTAAACTGTTAAATAACTTATCCTATAAATAAGTAATATATATAATTTGAAAGGTATTTAATTACCTTTTTGTTCCACTTCTATTGTAGAGAGAGAAGTAAAGAGAGAAAGGAGAAAAGAGAATAGATTAATGGTACTGTATTGGCCAGGTACTTTTCTTTACCTCTTTCACATGAAAGGAAGTATACTTACTGTCATTATTATTTTAAGTATTGCTATATTATGTGAACATTATATTTATATAAAAGCCCTGCCTCTAATGCACACTAGATACAATATAGTCTATCTTAGCTTTATTAGAACCTTAAAAAACACTCAGAATATCACCCAAACTTACTGAACTCAATCAAAGTCTTACCATTGGTTTCAATGGCCTCTGGATCAGGCCTACAGTCTCAATTAAGACAGCAATTAACTCAAACAGGATTGACCCATATTTCCAGATAACATAAACTCTTCCAAGTAAGGAGTGTGCTGATGTCCACATCCCAAACCCCAGAAAATCATAAATACACATCTAACTTTCTTTAAAACGGTATTCCCAATTAGATTCATGGGTTTACTCGCAGGAATAAAACCAAGCCCATTCATAAATGTTTTTGTATGACCCAAGACTCAGTTTTAACAACTAAAATGGGAAAGGTTTAAATACTCAAATACTAGTATTTGCAATTAAAAAAAAGTACTTATTTATGAAGATTAGATTAACATATTAAAAATAGTAATGCACTACCCCCCATAACCAGTGACATACTTTTCTCCAGATCATTCACCAGGCACAATAGTGCTCTCTCCAGGGTTGGATCTCTTTGACAAGGATCATTTCCCTCAAAACTGGAATACATCCATTCAGTACACATGCAACTAATAAAGGTATAGGGTGCCTGTATGTGAGTGGGGAGGCTGCTCTGACATGCTATAATTACAGCGTGTCGGAGCAGACTCGATTAACTGAGTCTGCTGGAGCGTAGTAATTACCATGCTCCAGCAGCCTCCTGCATCTCCTGTATCAGTGTCCCCATGCTTCAAAATGGCAGTGGGGGTGCTTGAACTAAAGCTCGTCAAACAAGCTTTATGCCCCTGCCATGATTTTTAGGCATGGGGATGCTGATGCATGAGGTGCTGCAGCACTTTAATTAGAACCACTCCAAGAACCAGTCTAATTAAAGTGCTTCCCCCTGCCCCCTTGGAGCATGTGTAAAAGTACCCTTAGGTACTAGGTTCCACAACCTGACAGCTTGTTCCAAGGAACATATGGGGCCTCATCCAAAGACGACAGAGAGAATGGAAAGACTGCAATCAATTTTGGTCTGCTGTAGGCCAACCCCCTGCAGAGTTCACAAATCTTTTTCACCACTGAGTCTTGTACAATTACTCCAAAAATGAAAGAAGCCTTCCCTCTTCCTTTCACACCATAGCAGTACTCCATTTTACTTGAGCCAGTTAATTGTGTCTTAAGCAGTAATCTGGCCACATGTTCAAGCAATTAATGATGTAATAAAACAGAGAATAAGCCACCAAGTTATTACAAAAAATGTGTAATAACTCTGTGGCTGGTTTTCATTGTACCTTAAACTGAATATGTGGTTGCTCCCAGCCTCTGGAGCACACAGGATCCCTTCAAGGCTTCAATTTGCCCCCAAGGCTGGGAGTACAGATCAACTAACTGGTGCTCTGAGCCATGGGAAAACTGGCCCCCTTGGCTTGCTACCTGCTGGTACAGGGGGATCATGAACCTGAGCTCCCCCTGCAACAGCAAGAGGATGCAATTGGGATCTAATCCCCAATCCCATAGTCACATCTCCAGCCATGCATGTGTGGAATGGCAGGAAAAGCAATTGTTGGGATCATAGATCAGATCCCATCACGACTTTAATTGAACATTTGCCCAGGGCCTCAGCTATGACTCACTGAGCACATCACAAGAAAGTAGACAATGCATGCTGAAACAGCATGACAGAAGTTGGGTCTGTCATGTGCCTGCTCTGAATACAAGGCCTCATAAATTGTGTGGGGAAGATGGCTTAGTCTAGTCAGCAGGCAAGATGGCAAAGGGAGCTATTAGAAGATCAACATTTTAAAGAGCTTCATTAGAAGTCTCACTGGCATTCAAAATTCCATTCTTCTCTGCACCTGAGATTTGGAGAGGGAACTCTGGGTATAGGTGGAAAATGATGACTCAGATGGTACTAAAGTAGAACATGTTTTCTACATGCACTAGTCTTATTCTTGGATACCCACTTTCATGATCAGAGGTAGGGGGACACATCCAAATATCACCTGTTAGGTGTGGACACATGCCTTTTTTCTGCTGGGAAAGCCAATTGCATTCTTTGGTAAAAGCAGACTGGACACGACAAGAACATCCTGACAAGTACTATGTCACTCCACACTGGAGTAAAGGCATCTATCAAAATTTAAGGAGGAACTAACTATATTCCAGTTACACTTACAGTGGAGTACTGGTCAAGTGTCCACCTACCTTACCTAGTTTCATACTGAGGCAGCCATTTGCTCAATGCAAACTGGCTGCATACCACCGAATGGTCAGGCACTATAATAGCACAATCCAGGTTGAGAGACATGGTCATGTGTTTGCTCCTGACTACAGAGTAAAACCCCAAGTAAACTGCTCCATAAGAATCATATTATGTGTCTGCACCCTTTCTGTTGACATCCATAATGATTTTCATAGGTGTTTCAGTGGGTTTCAGTGGAAAGAAAAAACTAAAATAAGAGGGTATCTATGTGAAGACAGAGCCTATAAAGGGCTGATATTCTTCCCCATGCTAGGATCTTAATAGCTCTTCCCTTGGGGGTGAATGGAATGAGGAGCTGGTGGAATACCGCTGCAGGGTTTCTCTTGTGTTTGTGAAAAATGCGCATTTGTTAGTAACACCATGAGGTCTGAGGGCAAAGGACAAGACTGCAGAGCAAGGTGCACATGCTTGGCTTTAACTTGAATAGAATTCACTTCTAGACTGCGGAACATTATTCTCTGTGTGGTTGACATTGCAGGCCCTCTGAATTCAGACCCTTCAAAGCTGGCAAACTGGAAGTTCAATGAGCAGAAGAATTTCAGGATCAGGCTTGTGGGCTTGACAGATCAACCTACAGTTCAACACATAGAAAGGAGTGTGTTCAAAACCGGCTACAAAGTGAACACTCATTTCTTCAGGTTTAAGTGATACAGGCCTTTGTCTCAGGCTCACTTCCTACTTGAAACATTTGGTTGTGTTCAGGGCGGTAATGGTGATAGGTAAATTTCTGTTCAACTGCTTGATTATGCAGAGGAAACAGCCAACATTAATACTGGGACACCAATTGATACCAATGAAGAGGAAAATATACTAAACGCAGGAATTACAGAGAAACATGCTCAGCACCTGCAAATCTCACATCTGGTTGTGACCAGAATTCACTTTCTTGAGAATAAGGCAGAGCAAGGGAGAAGAAGCGGGAGGGAGCAAAAAGTAAATCTCATGGGGAAAAAAGGCATCAGCAGTGCCCCCAAAGCTTGCAGTCCTGCAGGAACAGTCATACTGGATAAGAGCACTGATATCTATCTATCCTGGTGACCTACAGTCCCTCTGACAGGGGAGAAGATAGTAATTTATATTTCAGAGGATGGTGAAAGCCTTTCATCCTGCACTGAAACAATTGTGCAACGCCGTAGCAGGGAGAAGAAGGGCTAGGGAAGAGAATTTATTCATGCCTAGCTGAGCAGTTTGAAGTGTTGATTATCCTTATCTTGCTTAGCTACACATGTTATTAGTGGTCATAACCAGATCGGACCATTTTAAAATTCCAGTCACAGTAACATTTTGATCATCTCCAGTGTAATTATTTCCATAGGCTCATAAATACATATTATTTCTGTTGCTTCTGGATGTGATGTTCTTAAATTTCAGTGGGCCAAATCCTGCTCTCAGTTTCTCCAGAGTTACACCATTGTACTTTGAAAGGGGTTTACTGGGTAAATTGAAGGCACAAAGAAATTAACTTACTGAGTGCCCCTTGAATCTCATAATAAGAGACAGTGAAAAGAAAGGGATTAATCAGTTTTCACTGCCTCGCTTATTCCTTCATAGTGTATGAAATGATCTCATAAAACAGTCAGTGCTCAACAATTCCATCAGAAAGCAGTAATTACAGACAAGTTTGCATCAGCTGTGCAATATCGGAATTAGCACAGTACTAGAACCGTACCATTTCCAGTTCGCAGAATGCGAATATTGCATGCGTCTCTCAGCTCCTTATAAAACAGTCTCACAGCTTAAATGAAGTCACATTTCACGGAAGGCACATTTATTTCTGCTGGAGCAAGTCCTGCAGTTACTGTTTGGACTGATATGTTCATTAGCATGGACCAAGCGTATTATCTTCATTTTCTAGGCTGTTTGCGACATAACCACCATTAGCAGGGTAAGTTACAAAAACAATGCATTTTTTACCCTGCTTTCCTTCTACTGTTCTTTTAGAAGTGAAGTAGCCCATATTTACTCCTCACAAGAAAAATACCTGAAAATCCATATGCCAGAAATAGCTTCCACAGCTGCCAGAATCAAATGAATATACAGATTCTACGGTTACATTTGAGCTCCCTATTAACCAAAAAATTCTGATAGCACTGCTGGTTGCCTCTCTGGAAGCTGACTGTTAATAGCTGCCAGCACCATTAACACTTGAACAGAAAACAACATGAAATGCTTTCTTTCTTACCATTGCTTTCTTACTTTACCATTTCTAAGGCACAGCCAGTGAAGTGTCACAGGCCAAGTCCTGACTGCAGCTCATGGTTTTGCTACACTTCAAACACAAAGCAGAAGCAAACCACTCAAGGCACAGATTATACGTTTAAGTGACATATTTAAAAACCAATTGGTTCAAAAAGAAAAGGGAACTAAAAAAAAGGAAAGGGTCTAATATATCTCATACCATAATTAAGAGATTGCTGTTTCATTTTTCTTTTCCTCTCTTAAAGAGTTAAAAACTATTTTAAATAAATTGTTTAACTACAGTTAAAAACACATTGTTTAAATTAAGTTATGGGTTTATTTCATGACAAAGTAGAGCCTCTAGCTTGTTTTTGTCTATCGTGAAAAAGAGTAAAGTGAGTGAAGAAGTGTTCCTGGTGTTCTAGTGGCTGTTGGCTGAAATCTCTCCTCTTTCCCATGGCATACTACTGCTAATATAGAGATGTCAAGTGACGTGTAAACCAACGCTCTGCAGATATAAACAAGAGGCACTGGCCTACAGTACTCATTCCCTCGGAGTTGTCTTGAGCTTTGGATGGAACTGGTTCAACCCTTTAGTTTTCCAAAGTTTGTATTCATTAACCACTCAGCGACATTGTGAAACAACTGCCTGGAGTGTCAGAGATGGAGTGGGATGAGGCCAGAAGGAGTTTGAGGACCATTGATTTATACATAAACAGTTTTTTGCACTGCATTTGGTATCATTTATCCTAATCAATGGAATGGGCATCCATCAACACAAGATGGATGTTTATGGGTTTGGTTTTTAAAAAAATATATTTATATACACAACCCACCCCCCCCACCCCGTCCTTCCCCAAGAAAAAAATAACTAATAAACCAAGCTGAATGTTTGAGAGGGTGGCACATCAACAAGACCTTCACCCAACAGAAATTATAATGCAAGTGTCTGACTTGTGCCACATATTATATAAAACACTATTACATGCACATGTTGATTGCAGTTAGATACATATTGCTGCTGTTTTCTCAATCAGGCAGTAATAATCCAGAAAAATGCTGATTGCATCTGCCACCCAAAAAAAAAAAAGGGAATTTGTGACTGAAAATCATGGGTTATATCAGTCACTGTATTCAATTAGGTGCCACCATACAGCTTAGAAATCATTGCACATACATAGGAGAGAAAACATGAGCTAACTCAGTGTCCTGCAGAAGCAAAACACTTCTATGTTGTTATAGAGAACATGAGGATTTCTGTTTGTATGATTTTTTAAACAAAATGAATGACCCCATTTCCCCAGCTTCCTGTGTACTCTGAACTTGTGGAGCTGAATGGCTCTAGGCTGGAGAAAGTGAGACTTGAATGGAGAGTGTACAATAGTCTGGGCTGGTAAGAAATGAGCATTATGTACTGAATAGAACTATGGACCTGGGAGTAGTGTATCATGGGGAAAATCCTTGTCCATCCAACATCACTGCATCAGCTCATCCTACAAGTGCTTTAGAGGGGTTTCTGGAAAGGTGGGGGGGGAGAGGATGAAGTCATGGCAACTGTCCAGTGATGATCTGAGATTCACCACAGCTAAGAATTACAACTACCCCTCACACGGCTTTACCAGTGGTGATTCTCACCGGAACACCATGTTAGATTTTTGGAAGCCCCCTCAAACCCATTCTACAAGTCTTCACTTATGAAGGAAAGTCTGTGAGCAAGTATAGAATTAGCATTGCATACAAATGAGAATACCAAGAGGCACCTGTCAGGTGTGCAGCCTTGAACATAGGACCATTAGTCTTCACAGGAGCAGCAACTTAATCAGGTCTACTACTTCCACTGCAGCTTCTGGCAACTGGACAGGGCATGTCTCAGCACATGAGGCTCTGTCCCCCTCCCTTGAACTAAGCTGGCTAGCGACTTCTCCTATTTAACGGCAGGGAGAAGAACAGTGTGAGACAGCTCTTGACTGTGCTCCTGTAAATCGGTTGTCTCCTGACCTGGCCTGCTCTTGGATTTTGCTCACCAACCCCTGACCTCAACTTTAGATCCAGGGCCCTGAATATGAACCTATGGCCCTCCAGCCCAGTAACCCATATTTACCCTCAGGCCTCGCCAACATATGATGGTGCTGAAAGTGCCTGAGGCTAGTACTGTTATTCTTTCTGGGTAACAATACTAGTTCCTGGATTCTGGCTGTTTGTACATGGACAAGTCACCCAGATATGTCTTTCCCACAGCTTCCAACTCTACACTCTAAATAAAAGCACGCTTAAGTGTAAGCCCCCCTCCCCAGGACAGAGTCCAGGGCAGGTTAAAATAAATAATCCATCCGTTTAAATTCAAGGGACTGAAGCACACTCCCATAGATGACCTTCTCCAAGACATTAGCACAGCCAGCAAGAGTCAAATCAGCACAGAGCATAAAAACTGTCATGGCTCACTCAACCCGATACCTCATCTCTTATGTGAGGAACATGAAGTACTCTCTAAGGCAACCCTCTCCTGGGAAACATTGATTCTTGTTCACACAAAGGGCCTTGTTACACGGTAATTTTGGGCAGCTACTGGAGATCTTAACACCTGGATTGTCTGCATATTAACACCTGAAACAAGTTTTATACTCATTAGGCAGCTCAAAAGTTATGCCACTCCAGGGCAGAATTATCTCTGATCCATGCTACCCAGCTCATGGTACACTAAAGTGAAGCCTTACACTCTAGGCTATCCCTCAGTGTGGACAGTAGCAACATCAGCTGTACTCATGTGGCAGCAGCTCCATGGCTGGGATTCCTCAGTGTAGGCAGTAGTTCCCTTCCCTGGTCCCCCTTCCCCAATGGCCCATAGTAGGCCCACTATCCCCGCCCCC